TTGAGCATCATCAGTGTGTATCAAAGCACCGTCAGTATGTATCCAAGTATCGCCAGTGTGTATCCAAGTATCGCCAGAGTGTGTTCGTGTAGCGTCTATGTGTCACCAAGTAACATTGTGTATACAAGATAACTGGTGATGGTTGTAGAACCATAACTGCCTCAGCTCAAAGATTGTTATGTAATACAAGGGAATGTGAAGGGAAATGTATTGTAATGTTACCTCTGTGTAATTTACAATATATTTGCATTAACCTTCACTATGAAGGACAATATGGAAGTTGACTTAAATGACTGGTAGTAGCAAGGGTGGTCAAATTTTGCGAAATAGTAGTTAGAATTTCCAGATACGCAATCGACACATTGTGGGATATCAAAATATGGATGATAAACAGCAAGTGATATTTCCAGAGATATAGTTGGAATTGAAGCAAAGGAGTGGCCTATTAATACATAAAACATACTCACACATATCCGTACATATCATCTTGTCTTATTGTGTGTGGGCAAAGCTGTCATGCACACAATCGGAAAAATATGTTATTACTGTAAATAATTATGAACAATAGAAACTGAAATTTAGAAAAACTATGAAATACTAATAAGGAAAATATGCGATTTGCTGTACAGTTCCCAGAAAATTATTACAAGTCCCAGAAGTGCATACGAGTCGTCAAAACGTACAGTTTGGTGACAGTTGGAAATGATACCAAGATTTAAAGCGCGGTGGTCGTCTGGAGTCACGGCGAATACTTCTAGCGAGTCACCCCTCTAAAAACGTCATTACTGTGCCAATGACATTGAACTTTGCTCTTCCATAAAGCAGCAGTTTCTATCTTCAAATAATCAAAATAACCTTGATACACTGGCGAAGTATGTCCATTGTTTCACATCGACTGTTCCAAGGGATTTTCGTCTTCTCAATTTCTCAAGATAAACGTCCCAAGGTTGTTTTGTTTACTAGCAGGACATATCTTTTGGCAGAATTTCTTGTATTAATTTCCATTGCACAAACAAGTAGCAAATATTCTTACTGAAGCACAGAATTTGCATGATTTTTACTCCCCGGCCATTCACACAAAATGCAAACGAAGTCTTTCACCTTTCCAGTTGTTGACACTTTGCAACCGCCTTGATGGATGTATTTTGACCCCGGATTCTGACCTTGCATTCCGGCTAAATTTACTGCCCTTTCGTACCAGTTCAATTTCCTTTAATTATTACATCCAAATTCCATGATATTTAATATTTAAAACCAACCTTTATTTCACAATGACTTTAGTTTTCACTTTTCTAAAATTATTTTACAGATCCAAAGACTTTTCACTCCCATCATGCAATCTCCCATAGTACTTCCGCAGACACAGTGGCGATCGCCAACATACTAGTATCTACAAATAACCTCGCTCTCAGGAGCTGAGGAATAAGTACCTCAGTGTGTATCCAATTGGGTATCTTCAGTGTATATCGAAGTATCGTCAATGTGCAACCAAGTATCGCAGTGTGTATTTTAGTACCGTCAGATTGGTATCGTAGTATATCAGTGTGTATTCAAGTTACGTCAGTGTGTATATAAGTATCGTTAGTGTGTATCGAAGTGTATCTGTATATATCCAAGTAACCTCTGTGTGTATAGAAGTACTTCAGCGTGTACCCACGTACCGTCGGTGTATCCAAGTATCGTCAATGTGTATCAAAATATCGCCAGTCTATTTAAAATCATTGTCAGTATGTATTTAAGTATCGCTAGTGTGTATCCAAGTATCTTTAGTGTGTGTCGAGGTATCACAATGTGTATCCATGTTTTTGGAACGACAATCGTATGTACATTCCGTGCATCCAACCAGAAAAATGAATATTCAAATTTTTCGTCGCTTTTGTTTCAGCCAATCAAAACAAAGAATGTCAACGGAATGGGTCAAAATAAACGAAAAATACAGCATCTGGCGTCTGTATCATTCATTTCGTTTTGTTTCGTCCATGCATTTAGAGTTCGCTCTTTGAGCGGTAATCACATATTTGATTTCATCGGCAGGACATTCATTTTACTTATGTGCGTTTAGCTTTAAGAAGCGTTCTACTTAAGTGTGGATAAAAAGGGAGTATATTGTTAATATATACGACAGATTCACTCTCAAAATTATGTGTTACCTGCTAACGTAAAAATTTTGTTTATAAAATTGGCGTCGTATACAGTTTCACCACGTGTCGGTATATGTGAAGATATACACACTGTGGTAATATGCAACGATCATTCCCCTTCATTTTCACCACGTTTGTCAATATTGTCAGTATTCACACACCTGGTCCATGTCGTTTGCATAATTATCAAACCCAGGTCAAATGATCCATGATAAATTAGTGATTAAATAAGCATGCAAATACTCTAACGACTTGAAAAGACTCGTTAAAACCCAATTAACTTATGGCGCTATTTACAGATATCTGCTGTATACATACATTCAGCTTTACGTATTTGCTTTATCTAATAATTGCTGTTTCTGGGGATGTAGTTTTTATTCGCTCGTCTACTGGACTAATGGTGGTTATTTACGAATCGATAGCGCATACAAGCTGTTACAAGCTAAACTCGTGTGAATGTGCGTGAATAGTGGACATGTAGTGTTTACTGGATGAAAGGTTAAAGCAGAATACGTGATATCGCAAAATGTGAATTTACCTATCACTTGCATCTCTGTGTTTGTCACCGAATAATTGAAGTCCAAAGCTTACTAAGAGATTGTGGCCACCTAACTGAACTACGGGGAAAATTGCTTGCTAGTTAAGGAGGAGATTTCCCCTCATATCCATGTACTTGAAGTTCAATTATATATAAACAGTATCCTAGAGTGAGTTGTGTGTATGGTATGTCCCGGTAGAACGAACTGAGGTCGCATTGAAGACGGTGTAGCACCTTTGCTATCAGCTAACAGAGCATAGTTCCCACAGGACAAACATTATCAGAGACAGTAGGGCGTTTTTGTGTGTACATTTACACGATACGCAAATCTGGCTTGTATACACGGCCTTACAAGTCACCATGGTGTTCAGACTGCCACGCTAACGCGAGCCTGTAAACATTCCCCGTGACCAGACACGCGTTTCGAATCTTAAACACACCAGAGCGAAAGGTAATTTTTTTACAACGTGGGTGTGCTACCGCAAAATGGCATTATAATCCTAAATAATATAGTTTCCGTTGATTTGATATTTGGGTATTGACAATAATTTCATGATAACTTAAATAGGCCGCAATGGCAATTTATAATTTCGATCATTGTAGAACATGTAGACTACTCGGTGTATCCATGGGAAAATAAATATATACATGTATCCATTGTTTATCATCTAGTTATTTAATAAAAAGCTCAAACACCGAGAGGGGCAGACAGCTGGCTCAAGCTAGCTGGATCATGGTAAGGGGAGTAATCTAAACACGCTGTATATAGAGTACTGCTCCGTCAAATCAGCTTTTTATAAATTTAAATGTAATGAAATTCCCAGCAAATGAGCATAGAGCAATATTACATTTCGCGACTAAATTTCCGATCATTAATATGACGGGTTTAAATTGAAAAAAATAACTGTTTTGTAACTGGTACCGCTGTTACGATAATAGTGTTTGCCTAATTTGTCTAATCAACTATCACTAATGATGGCGACATTTTTATCCAAATAACAATTTGTCTAAAACATAGTAGCGCGTCCATGGTAACTATCAGGCGAGGGTGGAACACCAAGAATGCTTCGGTATAGGATGCGCTGCCGTCATCAATACAGCTACAGCTGATGACGACGGAATCAACGACATACTCATATATCGTAGCGGCTCTAGGTGTTATATTCATGGCCAGTGTAAAACAGCGTGCCGTGATTACCCGAATAATAGCACGTCAGTGTTGCATTGTGTGAATAAATCGTGGTACATCGAGAAGGGCATAAATGAAAATTGGCTAATAATCGAAATTATGTAAGTTTTTAATAGACTTGGAGCTTGCCGACTGGTTGTAAAGTTGAGAATTTGAGTTGAACGATTATCGAATAAAGATATGACTGTATTGGAAAACAATCATGAATAATCAAAAAGACAATCGTTTTATTGTAAAAACAACATCGCACTTTTGGCCTACTAGAGACACGTACGGGTCACCATAAATTCTGTATTGGGATGACAGCCAAATGGAATCTACTGTTTACTTAAACTCGGTGTCCACACGTAATGAGAACTCATTTTCTACACATCAAAGGAAAAACTGTTTTTTATTACAGCAAGTTAGCAAACTTACTCACTGATTTTCAAACGACTTTGGTTTGTTAGTGACGTCCTATAATTTTAATAATACAATGACTTTGATTTATGTCGCTATCCACTGACGACTATGCAAAGTTGTCAGCAAACTATTGAACAAGTTTTTTAACTTGCTATCTTAATACTTCTGGCATATTATGTAAAATATATATGCATTTCATTTATATGTGTAGTCCAGCTGGCAGCCAAAAACGAGGTGATCAATCATACTCCTTAAAGTTAAGTCTCATTTCTGTAGAAATAACTCGCGACGGCATGTATTCTACGTACTGTGACCGTTATTGAGGGTTAATTATACTCGTCTAATTACTTACGTGATGATAAATTACTTATGGAATTGACGTCTGCTGTGACCCCACCATGTTTAACAGGTAGTACTCTGTGAGTACAACACCGCTGTAGATGTTGGTTAGATACCAGGTATATAAACTATACAGTGTAGTTTATATTTACCAAGCAGCAAAACTTATCACTCAAACGATAATTTGTCATAATTGTCACACCAGTAGGCATCGCTTATTGGTTTTAGATAAACTTAAAAAACTAATATACATATTGGATGGGACAAGGTGCGTATCACAATCTCGGTAAAGTCATTCAGTAGACTGTGCTAGACCTGGAAAGAGGATGTTCAGCACATGATTTCGTCACAACACAGGTCTGACTGATTTTAACAACCCGTGTCACAAGTCATGGCCACTCAGTCATTGGGAGGAGGCAGATTTACCAGTCCGGTGAACTGCTACAGCAACAGTGGTCAAGTCGGTATGTTCCCCGAGCGACGTTCGGTAGTTCATTATGGACCAGCTTTGAGGCACCTGGCGTACGGAGAAAGCTCGATATGGGAACACCACAAAACGTGTACAATGTGCGAAATGTTGAACCAAGAACAACGCAACGCATTGACTGCAAACGGAACTTCATTCAGACCTAGTATAAACACGGCTTTCGGTGGCGCTAGAGTTCAGGAACATATCACTGCGGAAAGGGATTTCGCCAGTATTGATGCTAAAGCTAGCCCCGTTGACGTGGACAGTAAAAGTGACGGATGCAAACTAATAGGTACGGCGACAGATGCAGGCGCGTTGGCGAAAGATAAACCAAGCAGTGATACTAGTGTATGCACCAACAGTTACGAACCGTGTAAAACCAAACCCGCTCTTTCGTACATTGCGATGATTGCCAAATCCATACTGGGATCCCCGACTGGTCGACTTAGTTTAGGTTCAATCTACAAGTACATCACCGACAGTTTCCCTTATTACCGACACTGTGGACCAGGATGGCGAAATAGCGTCAGGCACAACCTGTCGCTGAATGAATGCTTTGTAAAAGCTGGACGTTGTGAAGACGGAAAAGGAAACTATTGGGCCGTCCATCCGATCTATGTACGTGATTTTTCTCGTGGAGATTTTCGCCAGAGACGACGATCCCGACGAAGAGGCAGAAAGAAGGAACTAGAGTTGAGCTACATTCACCCCAATAGTGACACGGCATTGGATGTTCTACCGGGGATGTATGCACCAAATCCCAACCTCTCGATGAACGTCTCGTTTATAACGCCATATATGGTAAATCAAGATTACCAGCTACATTCTAGAAATACCCTGCCTCCCGTGATGGACATCCCGCACCAAATCCCATACAACAAACAACTAGTAGACTCGGTGTACCGAAACCCAATAACGAATTGTTGCACAGTTCTACCGTCAGTGCCGATGTACCAACAATATTCAGAAGCCCAGATGACTAAGACACTGAACATGCCAAGACCATCTGATCCTATACTCTTCACAAGAGACGCGACAAATCCAAGACAATTCACTCCTATGCATGGTTAAGGAAATAATCATTGTATTATCAAGAATAGTATTATAGAAATATCGAAGAAACAAAAACGTTTATGAGTTGATTAATGATAGATACTCTTACAAATCCTGAATTTTACAGCTCAACTAACCACTTTAAATGGTCCATAAAATACTTGAAGTGTAACATGTGATCACTGACACTGTTTATTGTGGTGTTTATCCCTCGACATAGTACTTTATTATAGCTACTCATACAACCTTCATGTGCAGGTATCCAGTAGCAACATTTAAACGAACAAATATTTCTCCAAATGTAATAGAATTGTGACATTATTAGTCAACGTTTCTTAAATTATATAAACATTCTTTCACTATAAACTTAACTGAAGGTTCGTTTTTTTTGTGACCAAATCGGGAAATTTGACCTTCCACCTTACGACGATGTTTTATTTTTACTGATCCAATAAATCAAATTATAGTAGTCTACATTTAATATGCATGTGTACTGTTATAAGACGTGACGAGTTTACTATATATTTTGATCTGAAACATTTGTGATAAACCCTGGTAATTATTGAGAGTGTAGCAAACTTATATTCAACGAGCCTTACTGATCGATTCGTTATTTCAAGCAACTTCTGCTCCACCCGTTAAAAACTAGTAAGCAACCCAAGGCGCACTCGAATCGGAGCATGGGTTCCCATCATGATGCTCAAGCATGCCTTCAAATATCATGATGAATATATATATTTGGAAAAAAATAACCCATCCCAAGTAGGAAAACATCAAAAGTAAACCGTATTTACGAGAGGATTCCCCGGAGTCCTGAACGTTATGTATGGGGGAATTAAAATTCACCTTGGACATTCGCCGGTGTCATTCATGTCATTCATTCTGTTTAGTGTTGCTTGATATGGGATTTCAAGCACGGTTTTGAGGTACAAACGCTGGTTGAATGTATTGTAAGTCGAACTTGTAACAGTGAAATGTAAGTCTGGGTGGTGGTAGGATGTAGTTCCGAGTGTGTATATGCATACAAATCACGTATTCCTGTAACTAGGGAACTTGAAATAAGGAGTGGTGGGTTTATGTTTATTGCAAATTATGAACTGTGAGTTGTTGCTACCAAATACCCATGTGTTGCTGTGTAGTTAC